AATTACCAAACTGGCAACCTTTAAATCCTAATAACTTTACGAAAAATGATCACAGGTGAAATATCTTTTCAAATTTAAGCTCAGGACAACAATACCTTTTGAATGATATTTAAAAAATACCGTCAAAAATGGCTAGTTAAAAAGTCGAAATTTGTCTGAAGTAAAAAAAACCCACCCCGAGCACAAATATTCCGTTACTTCCGTATCGAAAGTCGGAACAAAAATCCTGTGCACAGATTGTAGCAGTAGTTTTCCTGAAATATTAGATAGAGTAGTTCTTTTGTTGATGTATTTTAATCCAAAGCAAAATACTATTATCAAAATTTAAACAACTATTTTCCAAGTGTGGTAAAGCAGATTAATTTTTTCAAAGTTTTCCATTTCATTTTTTCCAGAAAATTTTACAGAAAATACACTCTACTCATCTTGTGAAATGTTTTCCACATAATTAAATCTGTGTGATATAAGTACCACAATTCGCTACGTATAAGTATCACAATTTTTCCAAACAAAACCAATGAAGTAATATAAATTACCTATAATACATCTGTTTGGATACATACACAAACGAATAGAGGTTTTGCTTTTTCTTCCGTTTTATTTGGTTTTCGTAAAATTCTAATCGGATTGATCTATCTTTCTGAGAAACTCAATGCCGTAGATGAGTGAATTCATAGATTGCTGTTTTTGATGTAACGTTTTTCTTACCGCTATAGAAAAACTTAGTTGTTAATTAATGAGGACCTATGGCAGAAATGACTTAATTAGCGCTGATACAAGTCAGAAACTTTTAGCTAGGAATTAGCAAGGGACGGACAGTCGATGTTTTTGAGTGTTGAGAAAACAATGCAAATAATCAAAGTCCTACTTGGTTTCAAATATTTCTGAAGTTTTAGCTCTGATTTTCCACTTGATCATTAACAAGACTGCTCGTATCATGGTGAAGCCCTGAATGTTCCGACTGCCTTGTGAGGTTTATAGAGTAGTAATAACATTAAAAAAATTAAATGAAATAAAAAAAATGAAATTTTTTTTTTCAAAAATTTGAAACTTTTTATGAAAATCATCCCCCCACACGCCATAAAAAGTACAAAGGGATAAAATTCGCTCATTGTAACAAATCGGTGCATAGACATTACTGTCCCAGACATTTGTGTCCTTGACAAAACAATCCGAAATTATAAAATTGTACCAGACATTTATGTCCCAGACAAAATTGTCCGAAATTGTTTTGCGAAATTAATTTCCTTGACTTGACCTTGTGATCTTTTATGCTTTGTTCTTTTGAGTTTGCTCAATTTTGAAATTTCCTGGGAAAAATTTCAACTTAGAAAATTTTATTGAAAATTATTACTTCGCAATATCAACTTTGAAAAACAAATTGACTTTGAACTATAGTTTGATGTTGCTGCTGCACTCTTTTTAGAAACTTGTACTTGCGTTTTGGACGCTTTTTGCGTTTTGGGCTGTTTTTGCCGGCACATAAATGTCTGGGACACAAATGTTCTGACACGTAACAAATCAATTATGACAAATAAGCTTCTTTCAATCAATTTGGAACAATTACTAAGACGGATTAACTCTCCGCTTACGCGTTAATAGCGCAAAATATATCGCGCGTTAATTGTCCCAAATTGGCCAAAATGGCTATCTTTAAACCCCCGTAACTTTAGGAAAAAAGATCAGAGGTGAAATATCTTTTCAAATTTGAGCTCAGAACAACATAACCTTTCGAATGATATAAAAAAATTCCGTCAAAAATGGCTAGTTAAAAAGTCGAAGTTTGTCTGAAGAAAAAAAACCCACCCCGAGCACAAATATTCCGTCACTATTTCGAAAGTCGGAACAATAAAAAAAAACTTTTACAAATCAAAGGTTTCTCCGAATGTACAATTCTATGAATTATAAAATAGTCAGTGATGCGATCATTGGGATACTATAAAAAGGATGCGATCATTGGGATATTTTTAGTGACAGCAATTTGTTATTGGAGGACAAAACTGGTGCGGATAGTTTCAATGTTTGTCAGCAAGGCAGTATTTTTCGCTATGTAATTTTGTAACTTTACTAAACAACTCTCCTGAATTTGCATGGAAACCGTTTATTAATGTTTTTTGTACTGCAAGCCAAGGTACAGCAAGTCATATAGTTACTTGTTTAGGAGTGTACTTCCGTTACAAAAAAAAATTCAAGTGGTTGAGGTTGAAACTATATTGTAGCTTTAAACAAAAAAATCAAATAAATGTATTGAAAAAACTGTTTCAATTTTTAACAAAAAGGATTCCTATAACTCTAAATACCAAAATGAAAAATTTTCTAGAACGCATCGATTTTTGCTTCAATTTAACTTTTTATGATAATGCACAGTACAATTAGTCAAAC